ACGTGTTCCACACCGGCGAGTACTGTTGCACAGGGCAGTTTGATAATCCGTCGACATGTCGTCCAACAAACTATTCGAAGAGTTTTAAGCAAGTTTGCCCGACTGCCTATAGCTTTGGATACGATGATCCTACAAGCATCTTGACTTGCTCCTCAGCTGATTATGTCGTGGCCTTTTGTGCAACAAGGTAACCTCATTTCATTATATATCTTTATTTATCTTCTCTTAATTTCTTTAGGGAGGGAAGAATTCACCCTAATTATAGAAAAATGAGAACCGTTTTATTTACCTTTTCGTAAATTCAGCTTGCTTTTTACCACGCTATTGTAAACATTGGAAGTGTGGTTAAAATTTTAAAGGAGTTAAAAAGTGCTTTTAAGTTTTTAGCCAATTAAAAATCTTTTTTAATTTTTTTTATTAAACTTTAAATGCATTTAAAGAAAATGTTTAATTAGAAAAGTGCTTCAATTTAAAAACACTTGAGAAAAGAAAAAAAAAAAGAACATCCCCAACTTCTTCACTAGCTCCAAATCTATTATTGAAAGTTTAATAGCTAGTGTTTATTATTTAATATCTCTACTAAGAAAATTTTCGATCATATTTTTAAATTTTGGAGTTTAATTTGATGTGTGGTGTATTAACACTATTAATTAAATGGTTATATATATGATGTTTCTATTGGACATACAATATAATTGAGAAAATAATAGAAAAGAAGTGAATAGTTAGATAAAATAAAGTGACACGTGCAACGTATATTTTTTTTAGACAAAATAATATAAAGAAGTGGATAATTGAATAAAATAAAGTGACACATGTAACCATTTTTTTTAAACAACACATGAAATTCTTTCTACAGGTCTATATCACTCTATATTGTCTTGTTGTCTATTGCCTCTTTAGGCATATTGTACGCAATTTAATCAAAATTTATTCAATAGATAAGCCACCTCATCATTTGTATAACCATATATTTTTTTAGTACAATAACATGTGGGAGAGTGAAAATTCAAACTCACGGTATTTTGGTCGGAGATATATAACTAAACTAGTTGAATTATGCTCAGGTTGGCGGTTAACAATATGTTAATAGCATAAACTACATCGAATCATAAATTAAAAGCTCAATTACAAACTTTATAATTTAGAAGAAATTTTATTTGCATCATCTGAATTTGTGTTCCAAACTACCTTTATCTATCTAGTCAAGTATCAAATTGGAAAACAAATAACCTAAGATTTAATTAAGATTTACAAATGATCATAATAAAAAAATTTAAACCTAAACAAAATGATAATGATTATAGTAATCTATGATGTTGAATTGTTTCCAATTTTGAAGTAGTAACACCAAATAAATCTCACACTATTATTATTATTCTTCTTTTTCTTCTTCTAATTTTTTTTTTTATTTTTTTGGTTAATTTGGTAGAAATCAAAAGGTGTGCTCTTACCATGACAAGCAGCTAACATGCAGCAACACCTCAAAGACATCAAAATTAGAAGCAATCTCTCAAATTAGATGGCAAACCTTGATCCTCATTTTTCTCTTCATTTTAAAATTTGGAATTTTGTTCTAACTATATTATATATCTCATATTTGTACCAAATTAACTTTTGAATTTTGAATTTAAATTTGTTAGCTTTCTTCTCCTTTTTTTCAAATTTTTGAATTTTTGGTAGGCTTTAATTTGAAGAATGAGATTTACAACATAACATTTTATATAAAGGGCAATCGTGTTCGTTTTTGTTACCAACAAAAAAAAAAACTTGAACTATATGAAATCTAAAATTAGATACGATTGAAAATGATGAACAATTCATATATATTGAATGGCAAAAATATGATATCTTAGTATAAACTAGCCGCTAGTCTATAGTAGTTGACACTTTTTTTTAGTATCTTTTAGTTTAAACACTTTTTTATACATTTTTTAGTAATTAAAAAAACAATTTTAGTTATCCAACATCACTCTAAAAAGTAAAACTATACTAACACAATTTAAATTAGTAATTATATTTCAATAAGTGTGTGTAGAAAAAAAAAATTATCTATTTTTTAAAATTTTCCTTCCAAAAGTCATCCCAAACATATTATTTGTTTTATTTAAATAAATAATATTAAACAAATGGTCAATTAACGGACTCAAGTTAAACATTTTCGGTTGAAATTTGTATAAATAGTTGAATTTACCAAAATACCTCATTTTTTTAGGACAATAAAAAGATGTCAATTACTATTGAGTTAAATTCATATTAATACCAAAAATACCTAACTTGGAAGACAAGTTAAAAAAACCCACAGCAAAATTTTGGTAAGCTACCATAGCACAAATAATAGCAAAGTTTCTGTACAAATTCTAAACCAAAAATTTGGTAGGCTTCTTCAATGAAAAATGAACAAAAATTTTATTTTAATGATAAAAACAAATTAAATTAAAATAAAAATTTGACGTAATAGGTTATTTGTGATTTTAATTGAAAAAGTCCTTTAGTGCATATGGTTTGGTAGCACCCTTAAATAGGGATTAGCCCTACAATTTTTAAATCAAAATAATGTTCTACAATTAAAGTAAAGTTTCGTCAAACCGAGCCTAACTCAAGTGATTGAGGTATTTATCTCTAATCAAAAGGTCATGAGTTCAAACCCTCAAGACAAAAACATTCGATGCGCGTTGAAGTATTTGAACTTAAGACTATAATTTAATTTTGAAAATTAATTTAATAAAGTTGGATATAGTTCCATTGATCAAAGCCATTAAAAATTTCTTCTAAAGGTTGAACTTTGAAGTTCAAATTATCATCCTAATTCAATGAGAAGTGAAGAAAAGAGAAAAGAAAACTTTTTTGATGCTCCGTTTGACGTTAAGAATTCAAATGATATGATTTTAAATTCTAACATTTTAAATTATGAAGATGATTTCGAAGTTCTAATTGTGTTTGGAATCCATCAAATTTGGATAGATTTCAAATCAATAAAAAATAAAAGTTTTTATTTGAGTGATGATAGGAAATGAGAAGGAATATTTATTTTATTTTTATTATGCCCTTAAAATTATATATAATTTTTAAAAATAAAATTCAAACCACTCTCCCTTTTGTGTGAATGTTTGTTTATAGTCTCATCTCACTGTCTCCATTTTTTTTTCCTCCCTATCTATTTTTTCTTATACCTTCTTCTCCATTCTCTTTCTCATCTTGGAAAAAACCTGACTACTTTTAGGTTGGGAGAAACTTTCTCCTTAACATCATTAAATATTTTACAATTCTTTTTTTTTTTAATTTTTGCATTCTTCTTAGTTATCAAATATTTAATATTAAGGAGTTATTTTGCACATTACTTTCTAATTTATCGAACTTTATGAAATTTTTGTTACGAACGTGGAGTTTCTCCTCAACTTTAAGAGTCAAGTTTTTCTTTTTATCACATCTCATTCTCTATTTTTCTTTCTATATCTTTCTCTCTTTTCTTTCTCCTTATTATACATTCTTATCCATTTTCTTTCTTCTATTTTTATCTCATCTTCTTCTCCTTCTCATTTTTTTTTCTTTTTTTTTTTTATTTCATCTCATTCTCCATTTTATTTCTTTTTATCTCATCTCATCCTTGCATGTCGATACACTACTAGAACACCACCTTCATCTCTGGTATATCAGATTTCTTATTTTTTTTAGTTTAGTTTGATTTCTTTAGTTACAAGGATGAAATGGTGATGTGGTCAACTTTCAATTAAAATTCTACTAAATCAATCTTTTTTGGATGATTTTTTTTTGGCAAAACGAGATTTCAAATTCTATTTTTATAATTCCAAAAAAATACGGAAAATGATTTTTATATCATTATGATTTGAAAATCCTAATAAATTCGAGGTTCCAAAAATGGAATGAAAGTTTAATTAACACCCACCATCCACTGCCATCTGCCATCTACCATCTATGTTTTCATTATTATTCAACTATATATATAGTTGAACCCTTGACTATAATAATCTAAACTTAGTTTAATTGATTTCGTTTAAAAAATCGTAAGCTTAAATCTTCACTTCCACGATGTGATCAAATTGAGGCAAACTCTAAATACATCAATAACACTTTATCGATTGAACTCTCTTTAAGATTCAAAAAGGAATAATATATATGCTTTAGCAATTGAACAATGTTGAAGATTTCTTTTTAATACAGAGTATGAGTATGAGTATGAGAATTTGAACCTCCGACGTGGAGACAATGGATTGGTCCTATCGGCACTTAAAAGGTTAATGACGTCATTAAATAATTAAATTTTGAATTTATTAAAAAATAAACCCATGGGAACAAAACCTCCACCTGCAATTGAATTGAAATCAAAGTCGTCACTTTTCTTTGCTTTCTTCTTCTTCTTCTTCTTCTTTCTTCTTCTTGTTGTTCTGTTCGATATTCTCCATGGCTCCTCTCTTTTCTCTCTCCCACTCCTTTTCTTTCCCCTCCACAAACCCTAATCTCAATTTCACTTCCACTTACAGATATGTTCTTCCTCTTCGCGCCCCAACTCTCCGCTTCATTACCAATTCATCGTCTTCTCCATCGCCCTCACCGCCACCGCCGGATCCCATCCCCGACGCGCCGCCGCCAGACAAGAAGTCGCTTGCAGCAGCCACCGGGGAGCTCTTTCTAGGGCTGGCGGGGAGGCTGATTAAGAGGTCCGGCGACGGCTCCAACAGGGTTGCCATGTTTGAGGATCCCAGGGCGAAAAGGAGTGCGTACGATGAGAGAATCGGCGCGGTGGTGGAGGATGAGATTCAGTCCGGTGTAGTGTGGGAGCAGCGCGTTAAGGATGTTCAGGCCGAGCGGGAGCGGCGACTCGTTACCAGCCCTGGGTTTAGCTTCTCGGCCGCTGGTTTAGTGTTTCCATACCATCTTGGAGTTGCTAAATTTCTCATTGAGAAGGGGTATATCAAGGTTCTGATCTTTTCCCCTGCTTCTAATTGTGTATACATGTGGGATTTTGGATCGTTGTTCTGTTCCCTTCATGTCTCCATTTTGATGTTTTTGTTGTCATTGAACTTTAATGATGGTCATTTTAAGAGATTTTTTTCTCTTTGTTTTTGGGATATTTGCCGTGGCAGAACACTTGGGATTTGGATGGAATTTTGAATCCTCTCCGTTTCTCTTAATATATGAGTGAACATTTAATAGCATAACAAACGTAGTTGTAAAGTTACATTACTTGACTGATTCTGGACACTTATGTTTTGATAGTTTGACTCTTTTACATTTCAAATTTATCTGATTAGAACTTTGCTAGTTGGAAAGTGAACTAAAACGGTTTGTTTCCTGAAGTACTTTGAAGTATCCCCTTCATATGTCTTTGTACTGCACTGGAATGTTTGGTTAAGCTTGAGGTTGCTACGATATTTGATATGGATGCTTATTTTGTTCTTGCGACGACTGATGATGACCCCCAAATGCGTCTTTTTATCCTTTTGTGCATATTTATGTTGTAAATTCTGTCACTTGACAATCTTGATCTTTTTCTTATCTTCTTTGGTACTGAAGTGTGTGTAACAATTTAGGAAACGACTCCATTAGCTGGAGCCTCTGCGGGTGCAATTGTCTGTGCTGTTATTGCCTCTGGAGCCAGTATGGAGGAGGCTTTACAAGCTACCAAACTACTGGCCGAAGACTGCCGAAGTAGAGGGACTGCGTTTCGCCTTGGGGTATTTCTCTGTTGAAGTAGGCCATTTCATTCATCTGTGCTTCTTTTATTGTTCATTTTTAATTTTCAATGTCAAGAGTGTGGGCTCTAATCTTTTGTTGTTAACTATAATGCTGCTCACCATCCAACTCTTAACATGTTTTTCCTTCATAGTTACGGATCTCTGTTATAATTTCCTTGTAGTTGTTCCTACATTATATCTCTTTAAATGGCACCAGTGCATTTCATGAGATAGCTATTGTTTTAGGATCATTGTGAGGGGAGATTTGCTGTTCTTTTTAAAACTCTTCTACAGGTTCTATTTTTAATGGTTTCCCAATTTAAATCCACAGGCTGTACTCAGAGAGGTTCTTGACAAATTTCTGCCTGATGATGTACATATTAGGTGTAATGGAAGGGTTCGTGGTAGGTACCCTTATTCGAATTATTCTTCCCCCACCCCCAAACAAAACCACCAAAAGAAGAAAGGGGAAAGTATTATATTATTGTGACATTCATCGATTACCGCAATCTGTGTTTACTTTTGGTACCTTTTCCCTAATATATATTGTAGCATGACATGCTATGCCTTAAAAGAAGAATGATTCATGCATAAGTTTTGCCTGAAATCCTTTTATGTCATAACAAAGAAACTAGATGTGTGGTTGGTTCATCTGCCCCATGATTTTCTGTTCAAGTTTTCATATTAATTCGTTTGCATAATGTGATGGGAGAGCATCTCAAGCACTTGCGATATAATACCATTTTGGAAATTTTGATTTTTCATTTAAATCTCTGCCATGTTCCAGTGGCAGTCACCCAAGTCTTTTGGAGACCTAGAGGTTTGTTGGTGGATCAGTTTGATTCAAAAGATGATCTCATCAATGCAGTTTTCACTTCTTCCTTTATTCCAGGGTGTGTAGTTTAATTTCATGTCCTCTTGAATGTGCAAAATTTTCATAGTCTGGTTAATGACCTTGAGCTGAAACAATGCTTTAGTGCAGGTACCTAGCCCCAAGACCGGCCACAATATTTCGGAATAGACTCTGCATTGATGGTGGTCTAACATTGTTCATGCCACCAACTTCTGCGTCTCATACAGTATTTACTTGATAAACATTCTCGTTGATTTTTCTAGTAGGTTTAAGGTTGAATGGACTCGTAAGACACAAGTTTCGAATATATTTCAGGTGCGTGTCTGTGCTTTCCCAGCCAGCAGATTGGGATTTGAAGGGATTGGGATCAGTCCAGACTGCAATCCTGAAAACAGAGCTGGCCCCAGAGAGGTAAATAGCGAGTACACACATTGATGTTTCCCTTTCATTGTCACAGCTAACTGATCAAACTCTTGCTTGTTCTGCATCGTTTTTTCAGCTTTTCAACTGGGCTCTGGAACCAGCAGAAGATTACATTCTAGACCGGCTCTTCGACCTTGGATATCAGGATGCTACTGTTTGGGCTGAGGATAATCCTGTTGAGAAGTTGGTGGAAGACGAAGGCACGATTGAGGACGATGCCTGTAACTAGCTGAAGCATAAAGTGAAGATGGCGAATTAATTCAAATGGAAGATGTGGGACAGCATTGGTGGTAAGTTCATGCCAAACCAAAACTCAAAACTTTCTGGATTGCTGCTGACCTTGCTGCTTCAAATAGTTAGATACATATAGGAATATTTCATGACATAAAAAGAGGAAAGCTTTTACTCATGAATTAAAGCATAACAAGAATTGTACAAATGAATACCAAAAAGTCTTGTGTTCGTATATATATACCCCCTCCCCCCTATGTGTCATTTTGCTGGTCAACGTTCTTGTATTCTTTGAATATTTGGATCTACTGTTTTGAACATCTTTCCATCTATTAGAGGTGTATATTGGGTTCGATTCGTCTTTTATCGTTTTTCCTGTTATCTTGTGTGTTTGCGAAGCTGTTTTTTTTTTTGTATGTCCTTTGTTGTTCTTGCATAAAAGCTGGATTTCTCATCGATTTGATTGCAAACAGAATTGATGCATTCAAATTTGATACAAAGATGTTAAGAAATATGTGATGGCTTTCGTTTTGTTAGAATGTTTCAAACACAAGGGAGATGGTGGGTGAGTTTGGTATATGTTTCAATTGATGTTTTTTTTAACACACTTTTTTGAATAATCGTTTCTCGAATTATTTAAATTATAAAAGTGTCAATTACTCTAAAGTCACTTTTTTAATCATCTTTCGGGTGTTTCTTAGGAAAAAAAAGGTTTATAAAGCAACCTAATTTCTTTTAAAATGCAATAGTTTGGCTATGCAATAGTTTTTTTGTTTTGTAAATATAGCAAAATTTTTAAATCAGATTTTTCTTTTTGTTATTATCAAAAACTAATACCTATATATATATATATATATATAAAGTATATTTGTCAAACTAAATATAGAATTATACATTCTCATGTTTTACTCTATTAAAAGACGTGATTATATTACTTGCTAACTTTTTACTATAACTATATATTTTTTCAATAAGATTATTGTAGATCATCGAAAAGAAAGAGACAACTTTGATTACTCTCCTCGAACATAAAGAAATACAAAAAGAAAGACACGGTGAACTAATTAAATCCGGGCATGCACTCCACGTTTTGTAGGGCTCAACAAACGCATCAAAACTCCAAACTCAATAAAAATAAAACCACAACAAATTCAATTATTTAATCTCTTTTTTTTTTCCCCTTATTCTTAATATAAAACCATAGCTTCAACTCCTTCCACAGAAGCAGCCACATCTGTCGCCGACCAGGTAGCAAAAATGCAAGCTTTGCTTTCCCAAGTACATAAATTTAAAAAGAAAAGAAAAAACAAAACAGATGATGATGATGATTAAATTATCATAATTAATGTTGATTATTTATGAGTTGTGTTAAAAAGCATAAATGGCGATCTTCAAGCCAGCCTTGCAGTGGCCAGGGAAGCCGCAGAAGAAGAAGTTGTATCCTTTGACAAGCTTGATTCTGTCCCTTCCTGTTTGGTAAACCTTTGACCCCTTTGTCTTTTGGCACCAATTGTAGCCCACTTTGTTGTTCAATGCCACCACATTGTGTGCCATCTTAGAATAGTTGAACACTGCACCATCCAAATTAAGGATGTTTTAAGTTCGAATCTCGTTTCATAATATGCCTGCTTGTTGGGTCTTAGGCTAATTAATTTCCATGTGCGAGAGAAAGTATTAACAATAATATGTACAAATGATCAGTTAGAATAACGACGAATTCTCTATGTTTATCCTAGATATTCTTGAGTAGGTGTGGTTGTATCGATCAACTATTGGTATTTTGATAACTGGGAGTCGGAGCTTTGCTCCCCTGTACTTAGGACACCCGCACCCGTCTCAAGGCCTAAACTCGGGAGACATCAAGAATTTTTTATATCAAGCTTAGTATGACCAAGAAACCCCAAGTCTTGACAATTGGGCTGCCTCTTGAGGACATCGATCAACTTGGTATTTTCAACGTAGTCTATAAGAACTGTAGAAACATATAAAATAAAAGGTTGGTGTGAAGGATAAACGCTTACCGAGTACATCGCCAGCACGGAATCTCTTTCCCTTAGTCCAGGGTGCGACATTGAAGGTCCATCCTTTGGAACCTCCAACAAAGTAGACTGCAGCCTGAGCCATGTGAGATTGGAGGAGAGAGAGGCAGAGCAAGAGTGTGATTGCCATGGCATTGCCTTTTCCCTGACCCATTTCTTCTCCAAAAGAACTAAATTGGTTTTATAATGGAAACAGGAGGAGATGAAATAATGTGTAGGAGAGATTGGCCCTTTTTATAGTCACATTTTGTTGGTTCAATGCAGGGTTTTTTTAATTTAATAATAGGAGGGAAAACCCCAAAGTTAATGATGTGCCACTCAAAAACGATCCATCTAACCGAACAACTCAAAAAATAAAGAAGTATCATTAATTTATTCATGCTGGTTCCAAGTTCGAAGTACCCATTAACTTTAATTTCTCTAATTATTGAGAAAACAAATAATTTCTTTGGTAGCTCGTACTAGAGTGTGAAGATTGACTTTCACACCAATCCCACGTGGAGATTAATTCATGAGAATTTGGAAAAAAAAATATATATATATATTAAGTTGAGTTGTGGTTCTCTTAACTAGTAGTTTTTGGACTCAAATAATTTTGTAAAAATTATTTGTTAAAAATATATTTGGTCTAATATAAATTTCAAACTATCCAATCTTTTGGATATATGCAAAAAAAATTTTAGGTTTTCAAAGATATTTCGATTTTAATGCAATTGGAGTACATTAGACGGATATTTAATGACACACATATACTGACGAGTGAAGAAACAAGTCGGCTACCTATAGTAATGGATATTAACCGACATTAAAAATGTTAAAGTGAACTTATTAAAACTTGGAATGTGAGGATTTGAATATCCAACCTCTAAGAAAGAAGTAAATATCTTTATAGTTCATCTGTATACTCACGCGTAAATTTAATCTTATATTTTTCAACGTTTACGTTTAGTCTCTGTACTTTTTAATTTGTTCTCGTCATTAAAATTTCATATGGTATTGCATGAAACTTTTTAGGAAAAAATAATACTCGAGCTAAACTATATCCTGATTTTTGTTACTTTAAAAAGTTTCTAACATTGCTGCAAAACCCAAAACAAAACATATAATCTATAATCAAAACATCTCCAAAACTTCAACTTTTGCAATAACGTATTAGCATTAATTAAATTGCCCATTGTGGTTAACCACATGGGAACGATTTATTCAACCCCTTCCTTTCCAATCTTCTTCAATTTTATTCTTTCATATGTGTATATATATATTTTGTATTTGTTCCTCGTGACATGTTACATTCTTATTTATTATTAAATAAAAAAAATGTGCTATGCCTATTTGGATCCATAAGTTAAGGAGTTTTAAATCCTAAATTCATATTTTATTGAGCAATTTGTTTAATCAATTTTTTTTTTTAATATAAGAATACGTGGAGGTAGAAATTTGAACTCAAGATATTTTAGATATGTATCTTCAACTAAAATATCGATGGATATGCTTAACCACTTAGGTTGTCAAATGGGTGATTATTGATCTAACATAATTGATCGTTATATTGTACTTTTTGAACGAGTTATTAGTAAATAACTTTGTTTATTCGAGAATATAATACTAAAACAAACTATTTACCAAATGAAACCTCTACCCTTTTTTTTTATAAGAAAGCTGGATTGAATGAGAAATTTCTAATCCAAAATACAAATAAGGTTCTTGAATTTATTTTCTAAAGTATATTACATCTCAAGTAATTAAGAAAATGAGATTAAAATATACGAGGGATATGCTTAACCACTCAGGTTTTAATATGTAATCATTAATTATAATATAATTAATTCACAATCTTCAATAAAGTCAATGAATGAAAAAAAAAAAGAAAAATTTGTTAGCCCTAAGAATTTGGCCAATGACTTTAGTACACCTTAGCACGTTGTGTCTAGGTTAATAGTCAACATTGGAAATGCCAAAATAGTTTACTTAAAAATCGCCTAAGTAATTAATAATATAACATCTTCAATTTGTCAAATTATTACAATTGTCCAAAAATGTCGACGTGAACATATCTCAATAGTCAAAGCATTTTACTTCTTCTCAAGAGGACTACGATTGTTGGCATAGAATTAACCGATGTTCATTCCTCAGATATTGTCATTGCTTCTTCTCAGAACCGTTTATCATCACGATAGGTGTCAAGTGAAAGTTATCCTTTATTTTCATATTTGTTGTACTTCGTAAAAAAAAAAGGTCTCTCGCAACTATAATTTTTGTTTTAAGACGAAACAACAATTTACCTAACACCATCTTTATAATTTTTTTTAGGGAGAGAAAAAGAGAAGTAATTAAGAAATATTTTGTGAGGGTTGAATTTAAAAGTTTTTTTAAACAAAATGAAAAGGGCTAGTGAAAATATATTTAAGTAACCATTTTATGACTTCCTTTTCCAATTTTGTTCATATAGATGTACCTTTTTTGTTATAGAATAATTGAATATACTCTTCTTTGGACAATACATGTACATTTTTTTTAATAATGATTCTATATTTTAGAAGTAACCTTGACACTAGAAAATGGTTTTTTTAAGAGCTGGTATGGTAATATTCTCATTTTTTGTTTCTTTTTTTAATCCACAATTTTTAAGAAACATAAACATCTCCTAATTTCTCATTTTTAAGAAACGTTTCTAAAATTGTATAGAAATTTTAGTAGAAACAACAAAATCAAATTTTATTTTTAATTAATAAAATACGACATGATCTAATCATTCGAAATTTTTGGTTACTCAAATATTTTTCTAGGAGAAAAAGACATACACCCGATCTTATTAAAGAGAGCGACATGCTATGTGTTATTTGCTTTTTAATTAATATAAAAATTATGGTTACATATTTTATTACTGAATCAGATAATTACATGCCACCTCTTCTAATACAAATCCCAAGGCTAATTGGTGTGTGTAAAAATAACTTATTTAAATTAAAGAAAAAAGATAAATGGTATTATAACTCAAAGTTTAATTTATTACAACTCAGCGAATTGAACACAGTGCAACACTCACAACATATAATGTAAATCAAAAGACATCAACAAGACAACAGGTGTCGTAAATCTGTAGACGACAATGTAAATATTATTGACGATGTTGAGACGGTAGATTAAATTAAAAGTTTAATCCAGAGGGGTAAAAAAGAGTTTGTTTTAAGTGGCAGTGATGGCAAGCTTCATCCCCATTTGGCAGTGGCCTGGGAGGCTGCAGATTAAGTAGTTTTTGCCATTGACAAGCTTGATATGGTCCTTCCCTGAGCGATGAACAGTGGCCTCTCTTGGATTCACAATGCACCAATTGTAGCCCACTTTGTCCACAGCTACCACATTGTGTGCCAATGGAGTGTAGTTGAATGCTGCATAACATGCACAATATTTTAATGCTTTCGTCAAGTTGCTTGGTTTAGGGTCGGTTTGGTAACGTTTCTGTTTTTTGCTTTTTATTTATTGTTTTCTCTTTTTCAACTGAGAATAACAGTATTGCGTTTGATATGTGTTTTCTTTTCCTGTTCTTTCTTTTTTATATTTAAGGGAAAAAATATAAATATGTTTTATAATCATTTTTATTGTTTCTTGTTCTACGAAACTTTAAATAAAAAAAAAATTGTATGGAAATTAAATTTTCAAATGAAATGTTCAAATTTTGAAGTTATGTTTTAATGTTTTTATCTATGTTTTGGGAAAAAAATTTTGAAAAGAAACAAAACACTTGATTTTTCTTCTAAAATTTCTACACTGTGTTGGAAACGTTTCTTAGAAATGATAAACGAGTAATAGAAACAATATCCAAATATTTATGTTTCTAAAGAGTTGGAAACAAAAGAAACAAGCTGAAACGAGATCGATAATAAACGGTCTTAAATTTAGGAATTTTTCTTTAACCTCTAGAATTTTAGTAAACAACGTCAATAAAGTAATATTCTTCCTTCTGATTGATTCATTCTAACTCTTTATCGTTCCGATTCCTAATAAGTAAACAAGACCTAAATAGAAGCGTTATCAAAAGTTTACTAGTAACAACAAATTTATAGAATCAATCACACAAACTAAACACACACCCTACCTTAATTAAAGTTTGAAGAACTAAATTTAAGATTTAACTCAAAAATTTTGTAAACCTAGCTAGACATTAATAACCTTTCTTACATAGAGGTCAAAAGTTTGAATCCTCGTCCTCAAAAAACCCAAATTGGTTTTAGTAACAAACCCAATAAACTAGAAACATTGATTTCAAGGCTAAATGTGCGACGGTTTCACTTTTGACAGCGTTTTAGCTACAAAAAATTTTTCGTGGCCAATAATCTTTGGCGACGCAAAATGGCTTTGAGCGACGTTTTTTTCCGTGGCTAAAAGGTCAGATTTTTGTGATGAAAGTTAGAGAAATGTATTGATCGAAATGAAAAGCCGATTGAAATAGAAGAAGAATAAGATACCAAGTGTATCGCCAGCATGAAAGGTCTTTCCAATAGGCCAAGAGGAGACGTTGAAGGTCCATCCCAACTCATCTCCAACATTGTAAACGGCTGCTTCACCCACCACCAACAGCCACGCCATGGCCACCACTGCTGCACCACCAATTGATCTTCCCTTAGCCATTTCAGATATGGATCAGATCGACACAATTTCTTATCAAATAATGGTACTGAAGAACAACAACAAGAAAATGCTCTCTTTTTTATAGGAAAAAAGTCTAAAATATGTTTTATTCAAAGTTTGGTAAATTTACACTCGGTCGACATTCCTTTCACACTCTTGTTTTTTACAGTTTTTTGACATTGGGAGTCATTTAATTTGAAGGGATTAGAGAGGAATGTTCTTAATTGAAATGAAAATTGACTCAACAACCCACCATTGCATTGTATTGTATTGTATTGTATGCCAAATATGTCAATAGCTAACCACACAAATTCAAGTTTCTATTGAACTTTCTACCATCTGCCGAACGCACAATCGCCTATATGCGTGTATATGTTTGAAGACATCAGAGATTAGGTTTATGCTCTCTTTTATTTTAGTGACAATATATATATATATATATAAAAGAAGTTTAATTAAGGCGTTTCTTGTTGTTAGATGATATCTAATATAAAATGAATTAAATTTATTCAATCTATCCATTTAAGCTTTTGGGTTGAATGGTGGTTTATTCCTCTTTAAAATTGTATCAGAGCTCAAGGTCCTGTATTCGAACCTATGTATTGCCTTGTTTCTTCCTAAAATTAAGTTCTGAGTTTTTTTTCTAAAATATAAATAAAAACATTTCTTTTATCATGGACTTATAAAATGCATAATAAATATAACATATAAATTTTGAATATTTAATTTTAAAAATTAAAATTTTTCAATTTAGAAGGCAAGAGAACAAGATACAATAAATTATTATCAAATATATTATGTTTTTGTTTCTTTTTCCAATTAAGAAAACGAAGAAGAAATAAGAAACATTAATCAAACAAAATTCTATTTTTATTTATTAATAAAGAGTAAATTAAAAAAATGAGAAAATTACCAATTGACTCCTTAAATCTTTTATTTTATTACTTTTTTTATCAGCATTATTATGGGAGAAGAATAAATCGAAATTATATTACAAAATAACTTGCCAAGGTAAATGAAATGACGATCATGATGACACAGTGTGAGACAATAAAGGGTTGAACTTTTTCTATAAAATACATCAACGGATTCGAACTTACAATCAATGCTTACCAATGGTGAAGGTCGATGTTAAAGATATATATATAACATTTACTGAAGAAAATTTGATTGGAGAAATATCAATTTCAGCTCTTCTAAAAAGATCATGAAAAAACATGATTATTAAAGGCTATACATACATTTGGAGGAAAAAAATCAAGGGATGGCACGAAGGTCCGATAAATTTTTTTAATTTTATTTTTCAGTATCAATAACAAACCTTTTACAAGATGAGGCGCAACTAAACCGTTCATCTGATTTTTTTTATCCATAATGATATAATTTATCATAAATTTGGTTATTATTATTAGAAATGTGTAAGAAAATCTCAACTAACTAAAAAAACAAGGGCAAGAATAATTGGTCGGTATTACACAAGAGTGTAAACAAAATCTCAAATTGATTAGGAGAGGAAATAATCCGGATAATTATCTCTATCTGATATGAGGCCGTAAAGGTTATACTCAAAACGGACAATATCATACCACAGATGTCTTTTAATTCTCTCCCATTTTATTAATATTATTTTAGTGTCCGCCCTTAAAAAAAGGGCTTCTTTTTCACTATATATATGTAGTTCATATAAACACCAAAAAGTTACTGATAGAAGTTGACATAATAATTAAAGTTAAATTTATTCCAGGGTACATAATATTAAGCAAAACATCTTCATATTCCTCACACAGTACAGTAACACACTCATAACAAAACACTTAGAATAACCTATTATTATTGTAATTAAGAGAGGCTAAATCATAGATCAAATTAATCAAGTAAATTAATTAATTTGACCCAAAATAAAGACTCTGTAGATAATGAAATTTGAAATTAAAGTGCAGTAATTGCAATCTTCATTCCAGCTTGGCAGTGGCCTGGGAGATTGCATATGAAGAAGTTTTGGCCCTTAACAAGCTTGATTTGGTCCTTCCCTGTTCGGAAAACTTTTGAACCCCTTGGAGTTATGCACCTGCTGTACCCCACTTTGTTCACAGCCACCACATTGTGTGCTGCTGGGCTGTAGTTGAACACTGCGTATAAAATCACACCCGATATTAAGTTTCTATCGACACGTTGTCGTTTCTATCGAAATTTTTATATGTCTAACTACATATTCAATATCGACATAAAAGATGTATCGACATTTGTACTAATCTATACAATATTGCTGAGACTTAGATATAATGTTAACTAGTACGAATATATAGCTTATGGAATCGTCGTACACATGTTGTACTAAAACAAGAAAAAAGATTTATTCACGCCCATTTCTATAACTTATGGAATCATTATTTGATGATTAATTTAGAAATCACGATCAGAATTCATGTAATCTGATTTTGTTATATTTACAAATCTTAGCTATTTATTTTTATAATATTCTAGCTTATTTAAGTTTAGTTTCAAAAAATGCTTTTCTAAAAAATTGATACTAATTACTGTCTGATTAAAATTTTAAAGGGTGGTAAAAAAAAGGTGTTTCTTGCCAATTAAAGGGTGGTGGTTGGAGTAATTCTAAAAAAATTAATTCACATGTGTACCCCGATCTCAAATGTTATAGGATTTTGCAACTGCCTTATGAAAATTAGTTAAGGTGCATGACAGCCAATCAAGACAATTCAAAATTATCAAAAGATAATTATAAAAACAAATAAAACCCATTTAAAAATGATTTTAGATCAAATACTATTTAACTAGGCAGTAATTAAGTATTGTTTCACCTATCAAACAAATTCTTTAAACTTTTAAGTAAGACATATATCATGATCAAATTCTCACCCTATTATACTAAAAAAAATCTTACATTTCATCGAAAATTCAGAGAAGACAATTTGAGATGAAAATAAATAAATTAAAAAAGAAAAAAAGTTACCAAGTGTGTCGCCGGCGCGGAAGCGCTTTCCGTTGGGCCAGGCGGCGGAGTTGAAGGTCCAGCCCGGAGCGCCACCAACAGTGTAGACTGCGGCTCGAGCCATCTCAGAATACTGCAGCAACAACAGGCAAGCCATCACTGCACCCACCACCGCACTGCCCCTTCCCTTAGCCATAATATTATTATTCCAAAATTTCACAAATTACAGAGAGGAAAAAAGAAAATGAAAAATTAAAACCAAAGATGTTGTGATGATGGTGGAGAAATGGATGAGAAGGGTCACCCTTTTTATACAATGGGGGTGTGACATGGATCATCGAAAGCACAAAACTTTATGTTATAAAAATATGGCTTGTAATTATGATGGAGATTGAAAATTAATGTGTGAATGTGGTGGGTTTGGTAGGTTTTCACCAGTGGACTCACCTTTCATTCATCCAAAATATATGATGTAAATGCCTAAAATAGGTATACACATTGGATTTATAAAGTGCAGATTCAAGCCACAGACAATACAGTTGGTGTCAGAAAACAAAAAGAAATTAACCCTAAGGTACGTGGTCATCCTGCTATTTAAACTCATTCTCAACTCTTAATTAACCCTCACCCCTAATTTGGACCAATGAGCCACCCATGATGGTTAGATTTTAAAACATTTTTCGATTTGGTTAAGTTGATTTTTATTTTAGAAAAAAAAAATTAATAATGGAAAAAATATTTTAACCATCTGAACTCTATTATATGTTTTTTTTTTATATAAATAACTTTATTATATGTTACCAATGAACTTAGGAATGGCAAGTTGGATTGGAAATACATTTGTTTTACTATATTTATATGAAAGAGTCCTAACTACGTAGAGATCTCTCCCTCTATTTGATGATTAAAATCTTCTTTTTCTGTAATTCTTTTTTTTTAATACATCATATTTAAAAAAGCAGGTGAGAAATATACAAAAGATGAGAAAAATAAAAGTGCTCCAGTTATTACAAAATAACGTCGATTTGGAAGACAAAGAGAAAGCAGTAAAATCTCTTTTTTGTAATTATGTACTATTTTGCTTAATATTTGACTGCTGCTTCCATTTTGTAGGTTTCTCACCTACCCCTCAAATAAAAATAATTTTCCTTTATAAATAAAAATAAATTTGACTAGTTTTACTTTTCCTCTCATTTATTTTTTAATATTACACTACAAAATTAGGAGAAATATCAAAAAGAGACACATATATATGTCTGGCTATAATTACTTGAAGCACCATGCTCTGAGTTGGGGAATTTTCCCTTTTCATTTCACATTGACTATAAAATTCTTAGACTTTGATACTTTGGGTCTAAATTTAATGGAGAATTAGACTAAAGTGGAGTCCAATAATCCACTATGTCACAATAGCTGAATAATGTGACTCCACCAAACTATAAATATAATGTAGAGATTTAATTTAGTCAAATGGATATGGAAATGTGTTGGGTTGGCGAGATTGGATATCTTTGACTCCATCCACTGGCCGGTCTAGAAAACCATTCATTTCAAAATAAAATTAATGTGTTAAATTTTAAAGGTCTCTATTTAAAAATAATAATAATAAATTTTTTTAGTACAACCACGACGGCGGCAGATGAATTCAAACTCACGACCCATTACTGTTGAGTTAAGTTCATATTGACATTTAAAAAAAAAAAAAAAGTTAAACTATCTATTAAACATAAAATTGTGTTTGTTTCTAATAATATCCCTTAGAATTTAAATTTAAAAATAAGTTTCTATTTGGTCCTATAAATTTAAAAACCCTTAGAAAATGGTTCTAATGATCCCTTAACTCATTTGACCGTTAGTTGAAAATAGGATGCGACAGTTCTTTCTAGTTCCTACTAGTATCTATTAGTAAGCTATGAAAGACAGGCAATTCCCACTAAGCTAGCTAGTTATAGCCCGTATCGCACACTTACTTGAGCTGTGCGGGAGACTGGAGAATGGATCAAGTAAACTCCTCCCGACAAAAACACAGACGAAGCTTTATGGTATTTCTTTCTTTTATTATTGGAAAAGGAGGGCGCCTGGGTATGTTCTCGAAAGGGAAAGCAGAGGTAGTACTTCTGACTTGACAAAAAAATATTAATTTAATATTAATTTTTTCGTGATTAGACGATGAGGAGGCCTGCCTCCCTTTCTTCCTTCCTTTAATTTCTAAAAAAGGTCTCTAGTTAAGAATATTTTTTATTTTCTCTGTTTTTCTTTTATTTTCTTTAAGATCTTATTTCAAAGTTTTAACACGCTCAAATAAGTTTTTGTTAATTTAACAATACGTAAGGGTATCGGAATTCCAACCTATAATGTTATATAAAATAAAGAACAAAATTTTAACAATTTAAACTATTTCATAGCGACATTAATAGTTTTTCTACAATGAGAATAATAAAATTTGCTCCAAACAATTAATGACTCAAAGGAGAATCACTTCAACGTCATATATTAGTTAATTTATATTACAAAATTAAAAATTATCCACATAATGAAAAGTTTAAGGATTTAAATTGTTGATATATGTGAACACTTTTTGCCTCATTCAAATTAAAGGTAAAAGGTAGTGGACAATTTCAAACTTCAAAGTCAATAACTACCCATTAATTTTTCTTTTAATTATTTTTAAAAAAAAAGCACACATAAAATAATGTAGAAAAAAAAACCCTAAAAAGTATGAGTGTGTTTGGCAATTAAATGTGAAGGTGATGATGTTTTTTAAAGTCTACAACTGCCATTGAAGGGGGATCATAAATAAAATAATGATCTAGAAATTTTTTTTAGTAAAAAGTTAGTTTTTTTTCAAGTAGAATAAACTTTTTTTTTTAATCTGATTGAAATTGAACCATTAGATAAATTATTAGTTTGTGTCTACTAATCCCTCCTTCCCCAAGTTTAAAAGAAAAAACAAAGAATATGTCAAAAAAAAATTATAGTAAAAAAATACTACCTAAGTTGTGATTTGGAATAATGTACCATTTCACATTTTATTTTGAGCGAGATTTTAAATATTGATGTTAACGAAAAATGTCGAAGTCTCAATTTTATAGAAATATATCGCCAATATTGATAGGTATTTCGAGAAAAAAATCACAAATATTAATAAATTCATAAGAAAAAATTAACAAATAAACACTTCTACCTTTTAAACCTGGTTAAAAAGTCTTATTATTAATATTATGTCTACACAAATAATATTTGATTACTTTTTCTTTTTACGGTATAATTGAAATGTAGGTTGAGTCGATATCAAATTTATCGTACATATGGATGTATGTATATATGTGTATATATATATATATGGAAACGTCGACAAAAATATCGATGCAATAATTTGATGCGTGGGTGTTGAGCGACTGCCTAACAATTCCACAAAGAAAGGACAAAATATATCTAAGAGTGTAAAATATTTATTCATATTGTTTTAATCTCAAATGATCTATCAAGATCTCATATTAAGGATAAAAGAAAGGACAAAATAAAGTAATTTACTGTCATTGACAGAAACGATAAGATGTGACATATTTAATCTTGTGGTCCAACGTGGGCGGTGGAGGCAGCGGGGATCTTCATTACAGGACTGCTGACGTTGGATCGTGGTCGAACGTGCAGTGGAAGAGGTGGAGGGATCTTCGTTACAGGGCTGCTGACGTTGTATTGTGGTCCAACATGCGATGGAAGAGGTGGAAAGATCTTCATTACAGGGCTGTTGACGTCGGAGTGCAGTGGTGGATGCGGCGCAATCTTTATTATTACAGGAATTTTCATTTTCATGTTCCGTACACTTTTCGACCCTGGCCAATATTGCGGTAAAAAATGGCAAGTAAACATTAATAATATTTTTATCCTTACCCAAGCAAGCGTAGATAATTGACGTATATCTCTAATGTCATGAATTCGCTTATATAAAAAAAACATGAGCATGCAAAATAAGAACTGTGTACCTGTTCTTTGGGCTCAAGGCTTTTTAAGATGTTTGCCAACATATCTTTCATTTCACATTGATTTTTCTCTACGTTTCCTAAGTTTATTTCAAGCACGTGCTTCTCCATCCCTATGAAATCAGTCTCCAAGTTTCTGTTGTACTTCGTACATTTTTCTTTTTCTTTTGTACCGATCTCGTTCATCTTCATCTTCGGCAAGTCCTCCTCCATCTCCGAAACATATTTTAAGTCTTCATGAGGTGACATATCATGGCTTTTCAAGATTGATATATGACGGGGTGCAACATTGGCACCCAAGGGACATGGTTTGGGAGGTCTTTGACTCCTAGTGGTATCAATGCCCAACTTTTCGCCCTCCGTGAACTCGATGAATTCTTTACCTTTCATCTAAAATATTGGAAAATAGTAAGGTAAAATATAACAAAAAAGTTAATACAATCAATACTTATAATAGCATTGTTGCATACCTTCTTTACATTAAAAACTTCACTAGGTAAAAACTAAACTAAGGGGGATTGTATACACGACCAACGAAGCATGCAGGAGTAACATTCTCATCCAATCGATTCATGCACCCTCACGACACAAACATGATTTAGGTATGAAAGTTTATTATATATATATATATAATAATTAAAATATCTGCAATGCAAGTGGAAATTTGCTTATACTATATTTTTTTTGACGTGGTGCCCTACCATTGTGCAGTGATTTCTTCAGCCCCTTTAACGTCCGTTCATATGTTAGTGAGCCCTAGTCATAACTATCAAATGTAGACCAATCATCTACAGTTGAAACAACTTAGTGTCGATATTTGTTTTTTTCTAATTCCCCAACAAATCCAGCTTTTATGAGATATATTAGTGCCAGTTTCACCCATCCTCATCATTGCCCTCATATGTCATAAATTTATCTTCTAACTCAATCGTAGTGATAAACGTTTTATCTTCAAAATACTTCCTCTAAATTCTATAACTCAATTTGGACCCATCTAAACAACTTTCACGATGCCACAACCTAGCTATCATATCGACTCTTTCCTTGAAAAATTACACACCACCCATCCTACCATAAAGCTGATAAAATCATTATTTTCTTGTTCCACCTCCCTCAATAACAATAATGAATCAACTTCCATTAAATGTTCTATCTACTTCTATAAAGGGTCCAAAGCGTGTTTCACTAAACATTGCTAGTTGAGTAGGGCTCAACTTATCCTTAATATTCTTAATTGTTGTCTCGAAGTGGGATAGACAAAAACCATCATAGGTGACTCATTGGTCCAAAATGGCTAGGGTTATTTAGAGGGAATGAGTTCAATCCCCACAATGACCACCTACCTTAATTAGTAATTTCTATGTGTTATCCGATACCAAATGTTGTAGTGTCAAGCGGTAGGATCAATCTATATCGATCACAAGTTGAAAGACAAATGACTATTTAACATAAATATTATTTTTCTTGCAATATTTTAAATGCCAAAATCAAGCAGCAAACTATGAAAGCACAAGTTCAAAGCCATTGAATAGTACTACTAGTATTTCAAATTGCTTCAAATAATCTAAAAGAGCGAAAAGTAAACAAGAATATGCCAGGCAAATGACTATCTAACCTCCTGTGTTTTTTTCTTGCAGCATCTTGCAATGCCAAAATCAAGCTAACAACCCATTAAAACACTAATTCCAAGGTATTGAATATCACCAATATATTCCAAATGGCTTTAAATAAGCCAAAAGAATCAAAGAAAAACAAAAATATGCAAAGTAATAACTATTTAACAGTATGTTTTTTTTTTCTCGCAGTGTCTTGAAGGCCAAAATCAAGTAACAAACAAACCATTAAAATACAAATTTCAAGCCATCAAATATCACCCATATATTTCAAATGGCTTCAAATAAACCAAAAGAATCAAAGAAAAACGAACATTTAACATTCTATATGATATAATCTTCAGCAAAGTTTCCAGTTCTCAATCTGCAAGTGAAGAGAAGAGACACAATTACCGGCAGTTGCTTTATCGCCGTCGACGAGTTGGGCCGCCGGTCACCGGTCGCCAAATGCTGCGTTTGGTTGCTGTCGCCGTTGTCTTCATCAGAGGAGAGGAGAGACTAGGGACGGGCGTGTGACTGGAAAATGTTAGAAAAAATTAGGGTTTTTCAAAAAGGGCAAAGAGGACATTTCACCTCTAAGGAAAAAAAGAAACAAAAATAAAAAATCCCTCTTGCTGATTCTTTCCATTTTCAAGCTCGTGTAATTTTCCTTCTTGCTGATGCTTCCCTTCAGTCCGACTGCGTCTAGGCTCTGTCCAAGTTAGTTCTCTTGTTTTCTCAATATTCATTAACTTCTGCATTTGTGGCTTTTTTGTGATGATTTTGAGTTTTCTTTTCAATTTAACCTTTGATACTTACTTGAAAATTAAGTAGGTACTTTGAGTTTGTGCCATTTTGTATCAAAGATTAGCCGGGAACTGTAATAAATATATAGAATATATAAAGAGTCTCTAGACTAGTATCTGTGTTTTCTTACTGGAAGAAGGAAGACCAGGAAGCTGAAATCTTCTGCATAATTAGTTTTGGCCCTGATAACTACTTTGTTTTTGGTTTTCTGTTATTGAAAATTAAGCTTACGCTACTTCCACCTAGGTATTTATTTGTCTTGTTATCAACTTTTTAAAAGCGTTTTCAGAATCTAAGCTAAATTTTGAAATAAGAAAAAAAGTAGTTTCTTAAATTTTGTTTTTGTTTCTAAAATTTGGCTAAGGATCCAAATGTGTTTTTGAAGAGAGTGAAAAACTTATGAGAAAACAAGCAAATGGGGCCTTTAATTTTATCTTCAACCATGTTATAAGCATGAGAGGAATTTTGCAAACTATGCATTTTGGAGGACTAACAACGCAGGAGAAATGGGATGCCCACCAATCCTAAGGATTCTGATGTCTGTGGACAGGGGCAATGAGTTTACTGTTTACTGTAGAAATTTCCTAATTTCAACGAAAATCAAGTCTTAACAAATGAATGCAAAAGATTAAACCCAAATAGGTAAATATACAAGATTGATCATTGAATTATCTCAACAAAAATCTAGCTCTAATGTTGCATTTTTCTAAAATTTCAACAATTTCGTACCGAACTTTTGTTTTGTAATCCCTTGAACGTCCTTGTGAATACTTTTTTAATGATTCTTCAAATGAAGGTCCAACAAAAGGTTAAAATTGTAAAACTCATCCAATTCTAAGGTCCAATTGATGAAATGGAAAGCTGAGTGTAAAAATTAACTCTCTCCAATTCAAAATTGAATTTTTACGTAGAATGAAACATAGTGGAGGTAGAGTCCTGTCTTGAGTTTTCAGTTATTTTTCATCTGCGGGAACTTTTTTGTTTCAATACCTGGTCTTTGCTATTTGTAACCAGGGTTGATCGGTTTCCTTAGTTTGCTTTTATGACTGATTAAATGCTTTTCTTTTCCCCTCCTTTTCCTTCTTCTTCAATCTTAGGTATCTCGAGGTATAGCAATAACGGAAGAATTTTTGGGTTGTTGCAATTTATTACTGATTTTGGGGTCTACTTAGCAAGAAGGTTAGTTAGAGCAAACCGATGAAGGTTGGTTTTAGATAGGTTGTGAGTGAGTGCCAGTAGTCTGTGAACATTTAAGTTCATTTTCAGTGATTGATTAAATAAACAGCCTTTACAGCTTATATAGGACCTGAAATAAAAGATACAGTCAGGTGCCAACCAAAACTAAAGAAAGATACATGAAATCTACAGATAAGATCAAATTTCAAATTTCGGTGACCAGCCAACCTAGACACAGTATTGATCTGGGAAGATTTCTTTGCTTCCTTGGATTTGATTGGAGTTAATGTTTATGCAGATTTCATGGAGCTGTGTCAGAGTCTCAGAATGGAAGAAGTGTTGATGTACTTCGTAGCAAGTTTATTCATTTTTCCAAGGTCTACACCAATGCAGTGACTTCTGTAAATTTAGTTGAACGTTTTTAAGTCAAATGTTTCAATCTAACTTCCCAGTGCATTTGATATTTTTCCTTTGTTGTTTCCATTTGGTCTACTAGATTTCAGAGCTTAATTACTTGCATTTTCTGGAATCTTAATGGCAGACTGTCGATAATTTGCCTACTTCAATCACTTGGAATACACAAGTGGGAGAACAAGCTGATGACTTGTTTTTATCACTTTCTAACCACCCGAATCCTGAAGTTTCATGCTTTTCTCAAAAGGGTTATTCTCAGATCACAGAAGAAATTGTTGGCAGAGCAGTTCATGCCATTTGCTTAAAGAGTTTGGAGAGGTTGAGTGTGTTCCAGACCAATACGTTGGTCAATATGTATTCGAAGTTTGGCCAAATAAACTATGCCCAGTTTGTATTTGATGGAATGCCTGAGAAAAATGAAGCTTCTTGGAATAATATGATGTCGGGTTATGTCCGAGTAGGTTTATATGTGGAAGCAATGTTGTTCTTTCGAGATATTTGTGAAATAGGCATTCAACCAAGTGGGTTTGTGATTGCAAGTTTGGTCACTGCATGTAATAAGTCATCTAGTATGGCCAATGAAGGTTTCCAACTTCATGGTTTTGCAATTAAATCTGGTTTGATATATGACATATTCGTAGGTACTTCTTTTGTGCACTTTTATGGTAGCTATGGGATTGTCTCTAATGCTCAAAATCTGTTCAATGAGATGCCTGATAGGAATGTGGTCTCTTGGACTTCTTTGATGGTTTCATACTCGGATAACGGAAGTAAGGAGCAAGTGATAAATACATATCAACGCATGAGGCATGAGGGAATATGTTGCAATGAAAACAATATAGCTTTAGCCATTAGTTCTTGTGGGTTTCTTGTCAATACATTGTTGGGTCATCAACTTCTTGGACATGTTATAAAGTTTGGATTAGAGACTAAAGTTTCTGCAGCCAACGCTCTCATATCTATGTTTGGTGGTTGTGGCGACATTGATGAGGCATGCAATATTTTCAATCAGATGAATGAAAGAGACACAATCTCATGGAATTCCATCATCTCTGCCAATGCTCAAAATGCATTGTATGAAGAACCATTTAGGTATTTTTGCTGGATGCGCTCAGTACATGAGGAGATAAATTACACAACACTTTCTATATTATTATCAGTTTGTGGTTCTGTAGATTTTTTGAAGTGGGGGAAAGGGGTTCACGGTCTAGTTGTAAAATATGGACTTGAACCTAATATTTGTCTTTGCAATACTCTCTTAAACATGTATTCTGCTGCTGGAAGATCTGAAGATGCAGAATTGATCTTTAGAAGAATGCCAGAAAAGGATTTAATATCTTGGAATTCCATGTTAGCATGCTATGTTCAGGATGGAAGGTGCCTGTGTGCCTTAAAAGTTTTTGCTGAAATGCTATGGATGAAAAAAGAGATCAATTATGTGACTTTCACCAGTGCATTGGCTGCCTGTTTAGATCCTGAATTCCTTGATGAAGGTAAAATTCTTCATAGTTTTGTTATCGTTCTGGGTCTGCAAGATAATTTGATCATTGGCAATACATTAATTACATTTTATGGAAAATGTCATAAGATGGCTGAGGCTAAAAAGTTATTTCAAAGAATGTCCAAGCATGACAAAGTAACCTGGAACACACTTATGGGTGGTTTTGCTGATAATTCCGAACCGAATGAGGCAGTAGCAGCCTTTAAGTTGATGAGGGAAGGAGGTACATGTGACGTTGACTATATTACCATTGTAAATACTCTTGGTTCTTGTTTGACTAAGGAGGATCTGATCAAATATGGGACAGCCATTCATGCTCATACAGTTGTGACAGGATTCGATCTAGATCAGCATGTACAGAGCTCCCTTATTACAATGTATGCAAAGTGTGGTGACCTTCACTCAAGTAGCTATATATTTGATAAATTAGTATTTAAAACTTCTAGTGTGTGGAATGCCATCATTACTGCAAATGCTCGTTATGGCTTTGGAGAAGAGGGTTTGAAACTTGTAGTAAGGATGAGAAGTGCTGGGATTGAGTTTGATCAGTTCAACTTCTCCACTGCTCTATCAGTTGCAGCTGACTTGGCTATGTTGGAGGAAGGCCAACAACTCCATGGATCAACGATTAAACTAGGATTCGAATTTGATCATTTTGTTGTAAATGCTGCTATGGATATGTATGGGAAGTGTGGGGAACTAGATGATGCTTTAAGAATACTTCCCCAACCAACCAATAGGTCACGATTATCATGGAATACGTTGATATCGATTTTTGCTAGGCATGGACATTTTCAGAAGGCCAGGGAAACATTTCATGAGATGCTAAAACTGGGTGTGAAACCTGATCGTGTGTCATTTGTATGTCTTCTTTCTGCGTGCAGTCATGGGGGGTTAGTTGATGAGGGTCTTGCTTTTTATGCTTCAATGACTTCTGAATACGGAATTCAACCCGGAATAGAACATTGTGTGTGCATGGTTGATCTTCTTGGACGATCAGGAAGGCTTGTAGAAGCTGAATCTTTCATTAGGGAAATGCCAATTCCACCTAACGATCTTGTTTGGCGGAGTCTTTTGGCTTCTTGTAGAATCTATCGTGATCTGGACCTCGGAAGAAAGGCTGCAGAGTGTCTTCTTGAGTTGGATCCATCTGATGATTCAGCTTATGTTCTTTACTCAAATGTCTTTGCAACCATCGGCAAATGGAAAGATGTAGAGGACGTGCGGGGACGAATGGGTGCGAATAAAATTCAAAAGAAGCCTGCACATAGCTGGGTCAAGTGGAAAGGCAATATAAGCATATTTGGAATGGGGGACCAAACACATTTGCAGACGAACCGGATAAACGATAAGTTGATAGAACTTATGAAAATGGTTAGAGAAGCTGGTTATGTTCCTGATACAAGCTACGCACTGCAGGATACAGATGAAGAACAGAAGGAGCATAATATGTGGAACCATAGTGAAAGAATCGCACTTGCTTTTGGATTGATCAACATTCCTCAAAGTTCTACTGTTCGGATTTTCAAGAATCTTCGTGTTTGTGGTGACTGTCATTCTTTCTTCAAGTTTGTCAGTGGAATTCTTGGACGAAAAATCATATTGAGGGATCCATATCGGTTCCATCACTTCACTGATGGCAATTGTTCATGTTCTGACTATTGGTAGTGAGAATAGTCAGTGAAGTTATCCAAAATTTGATCAGTTTCTGACCTCTACGACGATCTGTAAGGAGATACAGGTGAATTAAAAAATGAAGAGAACACCTTATTATTCTTGAATGGCATAATGTCCTCAAACCCTTTTTAATCTACAATTAAAACAGAACATATTCATTTGGCAGTAGAATATAATTTGTGAATAGAATAGGAAGAGCAATAATTAGTTTTAAGATTGTTGTCTATATCAATATCATGCATCAAAAGGTGTATTTAAAAGAATATAATTATTATTTTTCATTTTTTTAAATTGATGTGAGAGATGTCTTATGGTGTCTCAAGTACAGTAGGAAATAATGTCACAATATGACTGAATATAATTCTGAGAGTTGAACCATAGTAGTAGATAACGTTTTAAATGCTTTTCACAATGTCTTGTTTTAATGTAGATTTGACAATCAATTTAATTTATCCTTTAATTTTAGTATTAAAATAGGATATAAATTGTAGTTTAATTTTTATTACAAGGGCATGAAAATTTTATTTATTGGTCAGGTCTTGGATTCACAGCTGTAAAAGGCCCATCGGGCGACGACCTTACTTGAACACAGGATCTGTTTCTATGGGTTGTACACTGTGCCATTGAGTTCTAAAAAAATGCCCATCAGGCAATTGGCGTAGTTTTGGGGCCCAAATTCATCCCACTCAACTTCTCTCAAACACCTGTGCTGAATTCAGACAGACAATTATTCAAATATCAGAAATGAAAAGTCCCTACTGGCTCTTCTCTCTATCAGCCTATTTTGCTCTTTTCTTCTGGCTGGGTGAAATGTAACTGCCTGTATGTGAGACTAATTCATTTCAGTTTTCTATTTTTAAAATAAATATTTAGTGAAATATGTTCCAATAATTGTTTTTTCTTATTTTCTTTGATCTGTTCCCATGGATAGATGTGTCAGGCAAATCCTTGGAAGCGGTATAGAAGAACAATGACACCAATGAGGCGGTTGGTTCTTGGCGATACCCATCACGAAGAGGTAGCGATTTATTAGTCCGAAAGTGCTCTAGAATGTAACTGGTTCCTTTCAAGTTTCCATTTTTTTTAGCTGTCTCGTGAATTTCAATTTTCTTTCATAATAAAGTTCAAACCAGCAGTATCATGGAAAAAAAAAAGTGCACATATTGTTTGTGCTTTCAAGTTTGTTATTAGTATCTCTTACTTGGGTTGCTTATTAAGTCGTTATGAGTATATTTCAGGGAAAAAAAAACTTGCAGCTTTTCATGATAAAGTTCTGTTACGTGTTTCTTCCCATACACTTTCTTGAGGAGATCCAACAATAAGGGTAAAGAGCAAACTGTGGAGGGGCATCTGATATGGGCAACTAGTTAGGAAAACTAGTGTTTTGATATATAACTTGAGCATTCCTTTGCCAAATAAGTTGTCCTTTCTGGCTTTTTGGGGAAATTTTATTGTCTTAACTTCCATGTCAGTACTGACTGGATGGCTTAAATTTGATGCTTATGTAAGACTTCATGTATCACTTGCCATGATGATTCCAAGAACTTCGCTTGATCATGTGAGAGGATGGAACATACAAAAGCAGTCTGAAAGGTGCTTAAGATATAAAAATATGTTGTTATGGTCGACCACCATGGGTTGGCCTAGTGGTCACAAGATTTTGAAAGAATGAGTTCAAACCATGACGATAATGTACTTAAAGATTCAAAATTCTACTAGCTCATTGGCAACTATATTTTGTTGGATTAGACAGTTGTCCTGTGAGATTAGTTGTGGTGCCCGAAAGCTATCCAAACATTCACGAATTACAACTATAAAAGAAAAAGGGTTGTTATAGTCTAGAAGTCTGGGTTTGCAGAAGATTAGACTGCTGATCTTTGATGGTTTTCTTTTAATGGGTTCTCAAAGTTGAGACAAGGTTCAGATGAATATCACCTGTCATTTTGTGCATGTTGAAGTTACCTTCTAAAGGTTTTTTACTTCATCTTTTGCTGTATTTTAACCTTGAAAGTGTCTTGAAGCCAAATATGAGAAAATTCTTACTGATAAATGATTGTGAATTATAAGAAAGTTCATAATAGGCTGTTATAACGCATCATTTGTAATATTTTCTCGTAGGGCAACAAAACGAGAACACGCCCTTGTGATGATGGAAAATTCAGCATGTCAGGTAGTTTCTTAACTGAATGTATGGGAGTAGATATTGTACCACTGATAAATTTGTGTATTATCAAATATTGAAGTTGATAGATGTAAACATGTATTTTGAGTAACCTGCACTTCATAAGGAACTATATAATTAAACATGAGAAGAAGAAAACCAATGTAACAAAACATAGGAACAAAGAGAAGATTATTTGAGTTATTTTTTGATATTTTTTTTATGACAGGATCTTTATGCTTGATATTGAGGCCTCCTTGGACCATGGAAAGTGTTAATTCTACTGAGGAAGATTGAGAAGTTCTTTTTGCAGTGTTGAAAGATTTCATTTTCATAACTAGAAAACGTTATCTATCGACTCGAGTAGCATCGAGCATATGGAATCTCGTGTGAATTAGTAAATACTACCTTAAAAGACTAAATATTAAAGGGGTGGTTGATAGTGAAGTAGTATTGTGAGAGAAAAGGCGAATAGAATTTCGATTGATACGTGAATGGTAGATGAAGCAATAAGCATTTCGGGCAAGCATTGTCAAAGATAACAAAATGTCAAGCATAGAATTTTCGGGGTAATCTTGTTGTCCTTAACATTTTGGCATCTTTCTGTTTCATTCACAATTTTGTAAATTTCTCAAAAAATAAAAATAAAAAATCACAATTTCGTAAAAGTTTCAATTCCATTTTTGTTTTAATTAAGTTATTAACTAACAATGTGATTATTTGACTTTGAAATATATTTTATTAACTAAGTTATAATACCTCTTACTTTTAATTTAATGAGCAGTAATCTAGTTTGTAAGCTTGACTTGTTACTATTTTTTTCGATTGTCCAGGAGTTGACGGTCCTTTTGCCTTTTTGTCCTGCGTACTATTCCTATACTCGTACATACGCGAGAGTTATTGCTTGGTGGAATTACGTTCTATGTGACTTGAACCTAAGACCTCAAGGATATTCCTTGAAATCCCAAGTCACCCGAATTATCCCTTGGAAATTTGAATTGTTACTTGTTGAATCACCGTCACAGAATAACAATGAATAAAAAATAAAGTAAAAATTCAATGAATAAAAAGTTAATTATTTGCCCTCAATTTATTAAAAAAAATAGTAATAATTGACCTCATTTGAACTAAATATGATTAAATGTTTTTACTTGAATTCTAAACTAATATACTTTCACAATCATAATTTATGGATGAGAAAATAAAATTCAGACAAAATAAAATTAACAATGTACGTAAAAATCCTGCAAATTTTGATAATTTTAATCTGAATTTTCACTCTCTTGCACTCGTAGTGGTGTTGGCTGGCGATATTTTTAGAAAAAATATTTAAGAATCTTATCTACGTCACTATTTAATTTGACAATTGAGAGAGAAATGAAAAAACAAAAAATATTTGACAAATTGGAGAGAAAAATGAAAAAACAAAAATTTTAAAGAATGTATTTTCCTATTTTTAGGGGCAATTCTCCAAAAGAACGAATCTTTGGAACCTCAGGCTCGCGGTGGTTGCCAATTTCTTACTGGGTCTCTCTGGTTTGTCGCTACCTTTTACTCTTAGCCTCGAACCATTAATCTCTTCGGATACCATTTATTTTTCTTGGGTTCAATTCAAGTTCCTGCCGATAATTGAAGTTTGTTCTTTTTCTCCCTCCAATATTATATATTGCTCTTAAATAGCAAAAACCCTTGTTTTTTTCTCTTCAATTCTGACATCTTTCTCAAAGCTACGGGATTCTATATGCTCTTCGCGTAGATGGCATCGACCCTCTTGAGTAAAACCCTTTTGGCTAATCGCTTGGCTCGTTCTTTCTCCTCTCCATCTGGCAAGACCCAGATTTTTACTTCCGTATTCAGTGTAAGTGAACTGTTTGTTGTTTATTTGAATTCTTCTATCTGGGTCTGCTGAGGGCTTATGTATTTGCTTTGTTTTGATTCTTGTAGAAGAAACTGTTTCACTTTCAAGCTAACTCAGCCAGTGTAGCATATAATCCAACTCGGCGAATTCCTTCTATCATGGCTTCCTCCATTGCAGGAGCAAGAGTTCAATTTTCATCAAAATCTTTATCCACTGATGATCCTGTTGTTTCCGCGGACTGGCTCCATTCTAATCTCAAAGAGCCAGACTTGAAGGTATCCACTCATGTTGGTTTCAACTATAATTGTTTTTACTCCTGTGGCTGTCTCCAACAATATTGACACATAGGCTGATTGTGATGCATTATTTTTGTACCTAATTTTGATTTGATGCATGTTTAGACTTGTGATCTTTGCTAAATTTTTATCTAGTGTTGAATATTGTATTCATATAATTTGCTGTGTATGTTAATGCAATATTGCTGTTTTGACATTGTTGTTTGTTTTCTTGGTTATGCTTCTAATCCTCCTCTTTTCCAAGGCTACATCCCTGCATAATGCCCCAATACTTGAAATATTTAGAATTGGATCTGTTTATTTGTATTCTGCCAAGTTAATTGATTGTGTTTCATACTTTATCTTCAAAAAGTTTCACTATGCCCCAATCCAGTCACTACATATTGGTTTTTTCGTGGGACCATGTCTTTCTCATTGGTTTCTGCCTATCCATATAAGAATATTGTTGCTTGTTGCTTACTAATAGTTCTTTGACTAGAAAATTTGTGAGTCTTATAGCTTTGTGTTTTGTATTTCTACACTTTTAACCTGGCTTATGCATTCAGGTGTTAGATGCATCATGGTACATGCCCGATGAACAGAGGAATCCAATTCAGGAATACCAGGTAGCCAATCTGGTAGATGTGTTGTTAGTTTATATTTATGTGATGAATTATCAGTTCTTAGTGTGGTTATAATTTTAACAGGTTGCTCACATCCCTGGTGCCCTTTTCTTCGATATAGATGGAGTATCAGATCGAACTACAAAGGTGCGGTGATCTCTTTTCATTTTGTTTCCCTTTAATACTTTCTTTCTTCAAAAATTAAGTTGACAGTTTAGAACTTGAAATGATTACTTGTTTCAGTTACCACATATGTTGCCATCAGAGGAAGCTTTTGCTGCTGTTGTCTCTGCTCTTGGCATTGCAAATGAAGATGGTGTGGTTGTTTATGATGGAAAAGGACTTTTTAGTGCGGCTCGTGTCTGGTGGTGAGATGCGGAAATAGTCAATTAACTTTTGAAAGATTTTATGCTTATGACCTCGTATGTGAACTGAAGAGATCAAGTTTGGTAATTGAATAATAGGATGTTCAGAGTATTTGGGCATGACAGAGTTTGGGTGCTAGATGGAGGGCTGCCGAGATGGCGTACACTAGGATATGATGTTGAATCCAGTGCATCTGGTGATGCTATTCTGAAAGCTACTGCTGCAAGTGAGGCAATAGAGAGAGTTTATCAGGGGCAAGCTGTAAGTTCTTAACTTAATGTGTTTTGTCCTATACTTTGCTTGAAAGCAACTGGAACCATGGATAGTTTTGTGTTATTTTGTTAAGGGTTTTTCTCTTTTCCCTTTTGAGTTCTGAAATTTTGACTTATTCCCCTTTGTGGAAAGACTTCAAAAGGAAGAGAATGAAGAGAAAAGAGGAGAGGGAAAACAGACAACGACCTAAAGAAAAGAAAAGGGGCATTATTTAAAAAACTAATTTTGTCTTTTTTTTTCTTTAATCTAAAAAGATTTGGACTGGTTATTCTTATTCTAATTAAAGGTTGGGTCATCTACTCATCTTTGATGAAGTGCATAAAAGTGGTTGTCTCTGTACAAATAATGTCTTGTAAGTTACAAGTTACGATGACAATGATTTCTATTTTCTACAATTACTTTTGTTAAATCTCCGATCAATCCAAAAGTTTAAGCTAATGGGTTATGATATATGTAATTTTTTATAGATACCTTAACACTCCTCACTTATGGGCTTGAAAATTTGTACAAAGCCCAAGAAGTGGTAATCAATATTAAATGGAGAGGAAATAACAATATACGGGTTTGATCAGAGAGCCTCGTACTCTGATATCATCTTAAATTACCAATCAACTCAAAAAGCTTAAAGCTGGTGGGTTATGGTAAATTTAATTTTTTATAGATACCTTAACAACTTAAATATATTTTGCTTCATTGTGCATTTTACTACGTAATTTGATAGGATCCAGAAGCTCAACAGGGATGTTAACTTGTTAGACATGGCTAGGACCTTGCCCATTGCCCATGCTATATATTTCTCTTTTTCATAATTTTTCTTTTCCTTTTATTTTTCTCTTGCGGTCTTATTTGTTTACTTCCAATTTTGTTGTGTATAGATTTCACAATACGTGGGTTTTTTTCTTCAGGTCGGGCCAATCACATTTCAGACTAAGTTTCAGCCACATCTAGTTTGGAACCTTGAGAAGGTCAGGTGCTTGTTACAAAGCTGTTACAGTATAGAATATGAATAATATAATGCTTTATGAAATCATATAGCAACATGTTAACTGATATGTGTTTAAGTGTTTAAGGATTGCTGTTCTTAGAATTGTAGTTCGAGGAGATATATTAACTTGTCATTTATTGTGAATGATGGGCATATGTCAGACTTTCTTATGGCTGAAGGCAGTTAATAGTACAACGTTGATTACTGGTATTCGTTTGGCCTTGAAAAAGATGATAAATATTGGATAATTGACAAAGGACTAGACTTCCCGCTTAGACAAAGTTTTTAAGGGTCTTCTAGTGATAGTGTTCATGTAAATAGACGAATGTAGTGTGAGCGTGTAGAAATAATCAATTTGATCACGTTTTAGAGGCGTTTTTTGTGCGAACAAGCCTTTATATATTTGATCCCTACTATCTTCCAGGTTAAAGAAAATATTTCAGAAAGAACTTACCAACATGTAGATGCCAGATCAAAGGCCAGGTACTGTAGATTTTCTTACAACTTTTTCAACGCTTTTGAAACCGAGCTTTGCCACACTATTTTCTTTTTTTCTCTATTTGTCACCGTCCCTGTTCCCCCATACCAGTTTAATGAGACAATATTTACTGTTGAATTGGGACTATTTTCTTTGTATCGTTGAATTAAGTTCAGCCTTCTTGCAGATTTGATGGAGCTGTACCGGAGCCTCGGAAAGGAATCAGAAGTGGTCATGTTCCTGGCAGCAAGTGCATTCCCTTTGCCCAGGTTCATATCAATAGCAGTACCTTATGTTTGAACATTATCAATTAGATTTTGGAAATTGGCTTCACACTGGATGCTATTGATTTTTGGTAAAAAAATGTAATGCCACAAAAACTAATTGATATGTGAATTAATATTTGCAGATGTTAGATAGTTCACAGTCACTTCTACCAGCAGATCAGCTCAAGAAACGGTTTGATGAAGAGGGTAAGTTTCTTCTACACGTAATCGAGAGTCTCAGGTCCTAGAAGTTCACGATAAATACCTCGAAAACCCAATACCATGGTGGAAATAAAACTGATGATACTAAACTAAAGTCGATCCATTCTTGCAGGCATCTCTTTGGAAAGTCCCGTGGTAACTTCTTGTGGCACTGGTGTTACTGCTTGCATTCTTGCATTGGTACTTCTCTTTCTCTCCACATTCTTAACGTTCTTATGGAGCAAACACAAGGATTTAGAAGGCTGAAAGTAGTGAAAATTATTTGTTTTTTTTTTACAGGGCCTCCATCGACTTGGGAAACATGACGTTGCAGTTTACGACGGATCTTGGACCGAATGGGGAGCTCATTCGGACACACCGGTCGACGTCGCCTCCACCACCTCATAAATGGAGGGAGTATAGCTTGTTCCTTATTACAAGTTTTCTTCTTGTAAATGTGGTTAATCTGATATCTTAACTTACATTGGTGCTGTTATTTGAGAGTAACACTAGAATGTCTTTTGGCTTCTCTCCTCCATAGTTAATGAATGGAAATAAATTTATGTTCTTTCACAATGTCTAGTGATCTTGAAAGATCCCCACATCTGGTTCCGAGGCTTTGAGAGTCACTATAACATAGGACAACCTAGTAGGATTTGGATCAACATCTCTTTTGGTAAGGTGCGATTTGTGGACTGTTGAAATGAAACAAGACCGCCGCGAGGTAAAATGGAGTAGGGAGTTTGGTTGCAATGAAGCATATACGATCCACGTTGGATCGTGGCGAGATGAAAAAGAATGCTCGAAAATGAATGAATTGTGATATAGCGTCGAATAAGCTACAATTCTATTCCCGACTTGAAATCTATCAAGGACTTCTTGGGCGGCCCATCTGGTGGGGGTAGCTATCACTGCCAGAAGTTTATGTGGCTTTGGTACATCCATTGGCACTGGAATGTGGATATGAAAATTCATAGAAATTTAAATCTTAGGTAACTCTAGTTTGAATGCACCTTCAACTCACAAAACTTATAAATGAGCATACTTTTTAAATTAAAAAAAAAACAAATGAATGAGTTGGTAAATGTTCATTTGTTAATAATTTTACTAGAGAGGTTTGACAAAACTTTATTCCATAACAATATTAATTATATAAGAAACATAAAGTTTCACTCTGTCCAAAGTATAGTCTCAACGATAATTGACATCTATCCCTGACCAAGAAATCATGAGTTCAAAACTCCCCCGAATGTTGTGCTTACAAAAAATTGCAAAACCCTAAAAATATTGTAATAGTATGTGTTTTGTATTTAGCTACAAATTGAGGGTATTTTTGACAATTGTAAAACCCTAAAAATTAAGAGAATCATATAAATACTTTCTGATTCACCCATTAAGCTTTCTTCTCGAATACCTAACAATGGCGGCTCCAATCGAATCTGTGCAATGCTTCGGCCGGAAGAAGACGGCGGTTGCCGTGACATACTGCAAGCGCGGCCGGGGCTTGATTAAGATCAATGGCTGCCCAATCGAGCTCATCGAGCCAGAGATCTTGCGATTCAAGGCCTACGAACCCATCCTCCTCCTCGGCCGCCATCGTTTCTCCGGAGTCGACATGCGCATCAGAGTGAAAGGCGGAGGCCACACCTCACAGATCTACGCCATCCGCCAGAGCATCGCCAAGGCGCTAGTCGCATTCTACCAGAAGTATGTCGACGAGCAGAGCAAGAAGGAGATCAAGGACATTCTGGTCCGCTACGACCGGACTTTGCTCGTTGCCGATCCGAGGCGCTGTGAGCCGAAGAAGTTCGGTGGTCGTGGAGCTCGTGCAAGATTTCAGAAATCTTATCGTTGATCAGAGAGTTTTAGGCATCTATAGCGGAGAGTTGCCGCTTGTTGGTAATGGTTATTTTTGGGTTCTGAATTCAAATTACCTGCGGGGACTTGAAATTTTTTATCTGTTTATGTTTTGTAGTATAAGAATTTTTTACTTGAGACTTGAGTTTCTGATTACTGAGATAATTGCAATGAAATGCTTTCTTGAAACATCAGAGTTTATATTCCAATTGTTTCTATTTCTGTTCCTGTATAATAGGGTGAGAAATCAAGCCAATAGAACACCCCTAATTCCTCCCCTGCATCTTTTGTAACATTAGAGCTACTTTCCTTGGACTACACATTTCAATTTCCATCCTAGAATCTTCAATGTGAGCAAAAATCCCTACTATAATCTTGTACTTCCCAAGTGTATAGAAAGAGTTGTGTAACTGTTAATATTTTCTACTTTTGAGTTCTTGGTACTTAGGAACCACCTATCATCCTTCCATCTTGAATCACAAACTTGAAGTAGTGGCTGTTCAATTTCATCCTCTCTTTCAGAAACCCCACATAACTGATATAAATTCTAAATGCTCATAATTCTTGTCAAAGAGTTGATCTTACTATTACAGCTAAGCATCCTCTACCCTAATTTTTTGGTCAACTTGTAGTATAAGAGAAGTGCTTCTTCGGATGTTACTTTTTTTCTAGAGTAACAAGGCTCCACCGGGACCTGCCATGTACGGAGTGGGGATTCCCCATTTTGGGCGGGTTGGGGATGGACGAATCCCCAGCCTCTATCCCTGCCTTGTGTCGCCCCGATACACCCCTACTTCAAGTAGTTCATGAGGAGCGCTTCCTCTTTAAATATAGCATTACAATTGTAGTAGCGAGATTCAAGGGTATTGATACAACCTTTTAGGTTATGCATAGGTTGGCCATTATAAGCAATAGTTTGTTAGGACAAAGAACCTCATCCCTTTTTTTTTTTTTTGATAACTAGGAGTTGGAACTTTGCTCTCCTGTACCCAAGGGCACCTGTGCCTGCCCCGAGGTCCAGACCTAGGAGACATCAAGGATTTTTTGGTATTAAGTTCACTATAAGATTCGAACTTGAGACCTCTAAGCCAGTATGACCAAGAGACCCCAAATCTTTGTCGACTGGGCTGTCCCTTGAAGGCTATACCCCATCCATTCAATGTCAATGGATTGAAGATATTCTTGTTAAGCTATCAAGGAAATTTTGTTCTTATTTCTCTATGTAAAATTTCTTTTCATTGATGTAAGATTGTTCTCGTACAAGTCCCAGCACGAGAGATCAACCTAAAACCTTACTCAAATGATTTACATTTTGCTTTATGTTACCCCAATTATTGAATTTTACTCTCTAACTTGTGGCTTGTGACATAAGCGTTTGAGTATGATTGGATTTGATTTTCCCCAGCTAAGCTACACAAGAGCATTTTTGTTTGAACTAAAAATAAAGATTTGAGTGCAAGCTCAAGCCATTGTGTCTCTAAGATCCAAAGAAATAGAAGTCACCACGAAGGCTGGGATATTCTATTCTGATTCTAATATTTCGATTACAATGTCATTTATGCGATTGTGTTTCATGGGGTTTTTGATTTCTTCTACTGTATCGTGACAATGGATCTATAAATATAAGAAGGGAATGATAGGAGAAAATATTGTGAACTAATTAATGATTTACTATGTCAAAGTCAATGAGCATGAAAGTTAATGATTCATAATAAGAGAAATTAGGGGCGTAGAATAGTGAATAGATATGCAATACAATTGCAAGTTAAAGGGATTGGAACTTGATGATAATTATTAAAATTAGATAATTAGTCGAGGTAATTGATTAACTCAATCTAAATATATGGTCGGTAGCTTTATTGTGACTATTATATCGATTTAATTTTGCATTGCAATAGAAAAACATGATGTTGTTATCCAATCGGCAAGAAGCCATAAGTAGATTTTAATCATTTTCTTTTGGTTTTCTATATTTAAAATTTAAATTTGTGTTAGAGGATTTTTTCTTTTTGGGTAATCTTTTCTAAAGGCGTTTTTTATGTTTTGGTCAAATTTCTAATACCTGGTTTTTATTTTTTATTCCTATTTTTTAAGTTAAAAGGTTTCAATACTCACTCGGCTTCTTGCAATTTTTAAGCATGTTCTTTCCTGCATGTTTTACAGGAGGCGAATCGGGCGGTAGATGCACATTTGTAGCTCCATTGAATGGAAGCAAAACTTTCCCCCTGGACTTTTGCGAGTTGTTGAGGGGGAGTTTCATTCTTCTGTAGCCCCACTGTGGATGTTCCCCGTTAATAAAGCTTACTTCTTTATAAACAAAAAAAAATACTCTTCCACTAAGGTATGTCGTGGTGTCTTAATAGGATTTTTTATCTTATTTTACATACTAGTCTCCTTATACAAAAAAAAAATGTAAAATAGTTTTCTAATTTTAAAGGTAGCAATTAGTCAATCTCGACGTAACTCATTAATAAATACACATGTTATTTTATTTGAAGTTGAAGGTTTGATTTCTCACCTTAAAAAAAAAGACATAACTATTTATCAATAAGAACCTTATATTATAAGCTTCTATGTTTTTCTAATTTGCTATGTTAGAATTGAGTACATATTAAATTTATAATTATTTACGGTACAACAAATATGAAGATGGAAAATTGAACCTAAAACTTCTAAATAATAAGTATTTGAACTACTGAGACATTTCTGCCAGCTACGGTAGTGGCGAAGCACTACTGAGCAATTCACRTATCACGTCGAGACGGACGACTTATGTTTTTCCTCCAGACCACACTCGTCGACCTCCGATCRAGCTACGAGCACGAGTAGGTAGGCGGCTAGGGGGAGGGGCGGCTGGGTTGCCTTTTCAATCAATCTCCGGCCGCCCCTAATTACTAGACCAACCTGGTGCGAGTTGTAAGGAGTCTTGGTCTCGAGT